CCAGCTGTCTCTCCATGTCCCTGAGATCCTTGATGGCTTCCTCCATGATGGATTTCAACTTCTAGTTGGAGGTTTCTGGCCTTTTGTCCTGCTTGGATACTGAAGAAGCTTTTTGGATGAGAAGTGAAATGTTTTCAAAGGAAAAAAAAAAAACCCAAAAGTCCAGTTGCTTTTTGGAAAAGCATCTTTGGGACAACCATGACCCGGATGATTGAGAATCTCCATCGACAAAGGCTCCCATAGAACCCAATTCCCATTCATGTCAGTGGGACCTGAACAGTCACAGCCCTGCTTCCCTCATTTTGTTGGGAGAGTGTGTGATGTTTGGGGTACTTTATTTCTCTTAAATACTGCACATCATGTCTTTCATCTTTTAAGGCAGGGGTATTTAAACTTGGCAACTTTAAGACTTGTGGATTTCAACTCCATGCTGGCTGGGGAATTCTGGGAGTTGAAGTCCACAAGTCTTAAAGTTGCCAAGATTGGACACCCCTGGTTTTAAAGTTTGACAGATCTGGGGTACAACTATAACAACCCTTAACGTAGCACTCTTCCAGGTAACAATAGCGGGTCCATATTTTACAGTAGACCCTGATTTGGTTTTCTTTCATTGCTGCATCTTGATTACATACATGAAAAGAAGTACGTACAGTTTTAAAAAATATAATTCTATATTGAAGCCCCATCAGGGCAAACGTTACAAATTTAGCTGGCGAGAAAATACGTTTCCCAGAAGCAAATGGAGTTTCCACCTCTTCAATCCCACTTTTTCTGCGACTTCCTTCCACAGAAGAGATTGAGTCCCTACCACTAGCCAACACGCCCGAAGTGTTTGGCCTACATCCGAATGCTGAAATTGGGTACTATACCCAAGCAGCCCGCGATATGTGGTCACATCTCCTGGAGCTACAGCCCCAAACAGGTAGGGCATGTTCAACAGAAGTAGGCGAAATAGAAAGAGGGAGCCTCAGATCTGTTGAAGCTCCAGGTCGCAAAGCGGGATCACATAATCCCAGGTCACTGCAAGCGTCATAAATATGGGTTGGTTGCCAAACGTCTGGATTTTCATCACGTGACCATGGGGATGCTGCAACAGTTGTAATGTGAAAAATGGTCATAAGTCACTTTTTTCAAGGCCATTGTAATTTTTGAACGGTCACTAAACGAATCATTGTAAGTTGAAGACTATCTGTATTAACAAACAAACAAAAAAAAAAACCCCTAACCCCACCCCAATCAGCAGATATTTTTCTACTTTGCAACGTTGGATTGGCCATCACCCAACCAAAGAGGTTCTTGACATGCCTCTGTCTGATCTCTTTGTCCTGATTTCAGGGGAATCCGGCGCTGGGATCAGCCGGGATGAGTACATCGGTCAGGTTGCCAAGGACATTGAGAACAAGATGCCCAAGATCTTCGATCTCGATCATATCCGGAAGGCTTTGGGCATCGACATCTCGCCAACGACGGTGGTGCTACTGCAGGAACTGGAAAGGTTCAACAAACTCATTGTCCGGATGACCAAGTCTTTGGCTGAGCTGCAGAGAGTAAGCAGGGAACCATCTTGCCCACCCTTCCCCCTTTATTTTATTTACTTTTTTCCATCTTGAGTGGCAAGTGGACCAACCATCCTTTGTGTCTTCTGTCCAGGCCTTGGCAGGGGAGGTTGGCATGAGCAACGAACTGGACGAAGTGGCCCGGGCTCTCTTCAATGGTCAGATTCCAAACATCTGGAGGAAGTTGGCTCCCGATACGCTGAAGACCCTTGGCAACTGGATGATTTATTTTAAGAACAGGTTTCTCCAATACACATCGTGGGTAAGTAGGCACAACGCCTTTGCAGCACCCTTGTTAAGTGGGGGAGAGGTCTGTGTTTTGGGGTAGAGGACCCCCTTTCCAGAACATGCTGAGGTCACTCTGGCACATAATGTTGGACTGGATGACCTCCAAGGTCCCTTCCAACTCTGTTATTCTGTTATATCAGCTAAAGAGGCTACAATGATGGAAAGAATTGTTATTACTACTATTATGTTTGGTCACACAATCAACCAGATGTTTTGACTGGATTTGGCTTTGTCCACCTCTCAAGTCCTTCCCAAGAACCTGGAAGAGGCAAATGTGAATACTTGATGGTGTTACAAGAAGTACCATCCCAGGTTGTCAACTCCAAGTCAAGCTGCTGATTGCAGTTGACTGATGGAGATTTTGGTCAATGCCGATGGTGCCAAATGGCACTCCAGATTTTTTTGGGATTGCCCCCAAGCTTATTGCTGTTGGTCCTGCCTGTGCTTTCTTTTATCCTTCTACTTCTATTTGCAGATCTTTATACTCTGTGATTTTTCTCCAGGTTTATTATTTATTTGTTTAAACTGATTGGCCGGCCAACTCCAGTAGACGCTGGAGAACATCAGAATCTCTCTAGCAGGGATGACCCAGTTAATGCCATTCTGTAACTCACACACACACACACACACACACACACACACACACGGGTGCAGAGAGCTGTGCGTAACCTCGTTTACCCTGGGGAAGAGCCAAACCAAGTTCCTTGCTGTCCTTAGGTTGAAGAAAGCGAGCCGAGCGTCATGTGGCTGTCGGGACTGCATATCCCCGAGTCCTACCTCACGGCGCTCGTCCAAGCCACCTGCAGAAAGAACGGCTGGCCGCTCGACCGCTCCACTTTATACACCCAAGTCACCAAGTACCGGACTGCGGACGAGGTCACAGAGCGGCCGGGCCAAGGTAAGGCGTCCCCCGGGGCCTGGCATTCAGGAAGCCCACAAGGCTACTGCTGAACAGGTTGCCACAGGTAGTCCCCGGTTGATGACCCCAACATTTCCGTTGCTAAGCAGGATGGTTGTCAAATGAGCTTTGCCCCCCCCCTTTTTACGACCTTCCTTGCCAACGATGTTAAAGGAGCCACTGCAGTGGTGAAGTTAGTCACACGGTCGTTAAGTGAATCTGGCTTCCCCATTAACTTTGCTTATCGGAAGGCCGCCAAAGGGGATCACCTGACCCGGGGACACTGCGACCGTCGTAAATATGAGCCAGTTGCCAAGTGGACAGATTTTGATCATGTCACCAGGGGGAGGCTGCAACGGTTGTGTGAAAAACATCCGTGAACTGGGCCTTTCAGCAGGGACTCATGGAACAATGTGTTGAGGCAATCGTAGAATGAATTGAGCCATTGATGAACCTTATGGACCTTGCAATAATAATAATATTTATTAACCTTACATGCTGTCTGACTCTCCCCAACTCTGGGCAACTGCCACATGTCCTCAAATCCCACCTTTGTTGAGGGGCTGCAGCATTTCTAAAACAGGAGGTGGCTGAGGATGCTCTTTCAGGGCTGGGCGCCTCCCTTCCCCTCTCCCCAGGGTGCTTTGTCTCTGGCCTGTACTTGGAGGGGGCTGACTGGGACCTCGAGAACGGCTGCCTCATCAGGAGCAAGCCCAAAGTGCTGATTGTGGATTTGCCCATCCTGAAGATCATCCCCATCGAAGCCCATCGGCTGAAGCTGCAGGTACGAGCCGAGGTCACAAGCTGGCAGTTGAGTTTTTGATTCAGAATACTAGGGGACGGGGAGGAGGCAGGACATTCTTCCTTTCCATGTGGTCATTGATGGGCATGTTGATTGGCAGGTGGTATGGCCACTGTGGGGTCTTTGGTGCTCTTTGAGCTTGGTGGCTTTCTTGAAGACATTTCATGACCCTACTAGGTAACATCATCAGTGTTAGAGGGAGTGGGGCTTGCTCTCTCTATATAAGAGACTTGCTTTATCATGTAGGTGGGAGTGGTCTTGCTGGTCCTTCGATTAGAGTGTTGTTTACCGTTTTTGTGGCATTGTTAGTTCCTTGATCAGGGGGTTGTTTACTGCTTGTATATAAACAGGAAGGAAACCCCCCCCCCTCCCTTCTAGCCCTGATCATGTTGCCTAGATGGGTCATGAAACTTCTGCAAGAAAACCATCGAGCTCAGAGAGCACCCAGGACCCCACAGTTCAACCCTGAGCTACAATTACTCACTTCTATAGGTTGTGTCTGATTTTTTTAGCAACAACATTGCAATGGTTGTGTTTTTTAGAACACTTTCCGAACGCCAGTCTACACGACATCCATGCGGAGAAACGCCATGGGGGTCGGATTGGTGTTTGAAGCTGATCTATTTACCACAAGGCATATTTCTCACTGGGTCCTCCAAGGGGTTTCCCTCACCTTAAATGCCGATTAAGCAGTGGCGCAGCCACGCCGTAGCTCTGTTAACCGTTTTTGGGGGGAAAAATGAAGAAAGAAGTTGAAAAACCCAGCCTTCCTTGCTCTAGCCACTGGAGGCTTCCCGGTTGCAAAGTTTTATTTTGCAGGTTTGTTTAATTTTCAGTTACCGTTTCTTGTTCTTTTAAAACAAGAAGAAATATTTATCTATTGCACTTTATATCAATAAATAATTTTGCAAATGTGTTTGGTGTAAAAGATGTCGTTTGGGGATTCAAAACTAAGGCGGCACCCAGGAAGGTTAATGTATTTACTGTTATCTCCCCAAAATAAGTACGTGACTTGGTACGGTTCCACAAAACGCCGCTGCTTTTGCTACAGCAGATTAACTTGTCTGTCCGCCTTGAAAATGAATTTATTCGGTCTTCCTTTAGCCAATTCTTCTCGGTGTGGATGCTGTTTTAAACCGTGTCTGGTGAAACTGCACCAGTAAGATTGTTTCCTTAATCTGCAGGGCTGTTAAGAAAGGTTGACATTTTTTTAAAAAATTTCAGTGCATTCCTCCCAAATTTTTGCAGCAGATGCTTGGCAGTACAATTTGACCCAGAAAGCTGGCCTTCAGAAGGCCCTTGTAATCACCCCAATAGTTAGTTTATTCTCCATCTCCAACAGAGACCCCTTCCACTGTGCAGTGGTGGGCGTCCGCTCTTCCTCCCCGGCCCCTTCCACTCCCCCCTCCTCCGATTCTCCTCCACGTGTTCAACAAAGGACACAAACAAGTTCAGCTGGATTAGCAAAATAGAGTTTGTTGGGATTTTAGTAGATGACTAAATAAAAACCTGAACAGAAAAAAAGAACTCTGTGATCAAGACCTCATGCTGGAAAGGCAACATGTGTATGGGGGGGGGGTCTCTCTCCTTTGGCTCCTCTTCCTTCTTACCCCCTGCGCCCGTGTGGGGGCCCACCCCACCCTAGACAATAAGAATTTATCACGACTGTGTGAAGTGACAGACAGACAGGGAAGGCTTTACTGTTAAGAGCCGATACACAGCGCGGCAAGGCTCTGGAAGCCCCGGGCCTGGGCCCGTCGGCGCGCCCCAAATAAATGAAGGAGCATCGGAAGCAAGCAATTCAGGCAGACGCACCTGAGTTTGGCTACAGCATTTCATTAGGTAGATAACTCTGCAATAGGAACAGGTGAGGAAGAAGTTAACTCTAGTTCTGGAAAGATTTTGGCATGCACAAGGGGGGGGCGCTTGGAAGAGGGGAGGGAGGTGCAGCCTGACCGTCTGCTGACCGCTGAGAGTCCCCTCCCAAGCGCCCGGTTCAAACAGTCCGATCTGTCCCCGAATGCTTCCGAACCACTTTGCTTCCGTTCACCTGGTCCACGGCCAGCGTCTCCACCTCGGGTGGCTGGTGGGGCTGGGGAGGTGGGACGTGATGGATGCGGTGCGCCACCCCCACGTGGCTCTTGTGCTGCCTCTCCCGGGCCGGGCTGTGGGGCTCGGCCGAAGCACGCTCGGACGGGATGGGGGGGATGACTAAAGGCCTCTCTTTCAGAAGGTGCAGCTCCGTGGATTCTCTGGCCAATAAAAAGGGCGTGGGGTCAGGCATGGCGTCGACCGGCTCCCGCAGCAGCAGCTTGCGGCTCTCCGAGCCTAATCGGTAGGCCTCCTCGAATTCGGGGTTGAGCGGCGTGGACAGGCTCTTCTTCATCCTGCGCCGCGGAGTTTCTGGAAGCTTCTCTTTGGGAGGAGCAGGTTTGTAGCCGGAGAGCACGGGGCTTCCGGACGGAGAGCTGTCCGACGTCCCGCTGGAGCTCATGAGTTTTTTCTTCGTGGCGTGGAGCTGGGAGGTTAGGTAGGCGATGGTGCTGGCCCGCTGCTCCAGTTCGCTGGAGAGCATGTTTAATTTATGGCTTTTCATCTTTAATTCTTCCAAGTATTTCTTCTCCCGCTCCTTGATCGTGTTCTCGAGCACCGCGATCATGGCGTTCTTTTGCTCGAGCTCTTTTAATAATTCATTGTTTTCCATCTCCTTCGCTTTAAGCTGGGCCTCCAGCTCTTCGCATTTCCTTCTGAGCTCTTCGCTCCTCGAAATCCCATTTTCTGAAAGAGGGAAAAGAGAAGGAGGATTTATCTCAAGAGATTCACGACGCTACCGGCATTCGCACAAAGCGAGCGAAGAACTGAAGCCAGAAGCAGAACGGTTTTCCATGCTGGCCGCTGGGAAAAATTGCAGGAGAAGGTTGCGCTCATCGCCTGCCTTCCCTGCAAAAACACTGGCCAAGGTTGCCAGAGAAAATAACGGGATTTGATTCAAGATTCCCAATATCTAATTAAAATAACAGCAGCGAAAATGCACCTTTCACAATGTTTGAAGAATATCTTAAGCATGGAAGGAGGGTATGCACAAATGCGTTCAAGATTCCTCACCTGTCAAGTCTGAACTTTTGAGAGTCAACTCGTAGGTCAGATCTGAAAAACAGACAAGAGTTAAGACCTTGTAGAAACTCACTCCAAACGGGCAAGCCATAAATGAAACCCAGAGGACACAAAGGGGCCTTTCCAGAAAACAAACCATACTTTATGAACGAGGACTTGCAGAGTTCTGTGACCAATCTCCACACTGGGAAACCTACTTTATTTATAGGACACTTTTATCTCCTTATCTGTAAACGCTATCAGCAGCCAATATGAGCTCCCTCTGCCCACAAACCTGGGTACATCAGCTAAAGAAAAGAAATTTTTTAAAAAATGTGTCATCAGCCCAGTTGCTTGAAAAGATGACACATCTTGCAAGACGGGCGGACTTCAACTCCCAGAATTCCCCAGCCAGCAAGGAGAGGTAGTCCTCGACTTAGTGACCGTTCAGAGTTACAAGGGCACTGAAAAAGGTGACTTGTAACCCTTTTGCAGAGTTGCGACCGTTACAGCATCCCCCCGGACACTTGGCAATTGGTTTATGTTTATGACAGTTGCAGTGTCTGGGGGGGGAGGGAATCACGTTATTAAGCCAGATTTGCTTAATAACTGGGTTACTAATTGAAAACTGCAGTGATTCACTTAACAAGAAAGAACGTAAAATGGGGCAAAACTCACTTTAACAAACGTCTCGCTTAACCCTCAGCAATTTTGGGCTCAATTGTGGTCGTAAGTCGAGGACTACCTGTACATCTTAACCATCCGCCAAAGTCGAGAAAGCCAGCTTTTCTCTCGGTACCTGTGCAGTGTTGCTGCAGGCGGCGGATCTCGGCGTGCAGCCCCTTGAGGGTATCTGCGTGCTGCCTCTGGAGAAAAAGCAGATTCTTTTGGGCGCTGTGCAGCTGGTTCTCCAGGTTCAGTGCTGCCATCCTGGCATCCAGCAAATCTGGAGGGAGGAAAGAAAGCAAGGATGGAGGGAGCGCACCTTTAGATGAGAGGGAGGGCAGGAAAGTAGAAGAGGACAAAAGGAAGCGGGGGGGGAGACAATCAGCGCAAGCTGACGGAAAAGGCCAGAGAAGGCTGCGTTGGCCAGCTGCCAGGGTCCACAGAGAGTGGGAAATTGGGAATGATCCTTCTCGACTTTACCATCACTGATATTTCAGTTGAAGCTCGCCACCTGTGGAACTCTCCGTCTGCTTGGGATAACTGTGTGGTCACAATGGGTGAGAGGGAGGGAGGGAGGGGAAAGACACCACCCGGTGCTCTTTAGCTGAATTCACGTGTTTGTGGAATTGGCACCAGAGAAACGTTGCAGTGGGGTTCAAAGGAGGAATCAGCCGAGTTCTAATTCCCCTCCTCCTCAGACGACCAAACAAATGTTCATCAAGCCAGCAAGTTTGTCGGGACATCAACATCATCCCCAATTCCAGCGATCCCCTGCCAGGACTTTTGTCCTTGAATGCAAGGATGGAGAAGCCAAGGCCTGAGCTGCCCACTTGGGTTCCCCCAGGCTGATGGAAGTCTCAACCCATGACAATCCTTCCTTTCGCACAAGAGAGACTGAAGGCTGTTGGGATCTGATTGGAAGCATTGCTAAAGCATGACACTCCCAAATATTTTGAGCCACGTCTATCGAGAGACCTCCATCAGAAGGACATTTTGAAGACAAGGACATAGTTCTCCAAAAAGGAACACGAGACCTGGAAAAACAGCTCTTAATAACAGAATAACAGAGCTGGAAGGGACCTTGAAGGTCTTCTAGTCCAAATGGTTGTCCAATCTCTTTTTAAAAAACCTCTAGTGTTGGCGCCCTCACCATTTCTGGGGATAAGCAGTTTCACTGGTTAAATTGTTCTCACTGTCAGGAAATTTCTCCTTAGGTTGCTTCTCTCCTTGGTTAGTTTCCATCCATTGCTTCTTGTCCTGCCTTCTGGTGCTTTGGAGAATAGGTTGATCCCCTCTTCTTTGGGGCAGCCCCTCAGATATTGGAACTATCATGTCACCCCCAGTGAAGATCCTGGATCAAAGGCAGTGGAGGGGGGGAAATGGGTTCTCCAAAGAGACCACCCTGTTTTGTAGGCATTTCTCAGGTTACATTATCTGCCTGGAAGAAGAAGCCTCGTCTGTAGAGCTGAAAGCTTTACTGCCTCCGCTAATGTCTCGCTGAATATTCCCCTCTGCCCCCACCCCCCAAAAAGGTCAAGTGACAAAGCATAGCATGGTGTGACTCGCCCATCGGAGTCAAGAGTGGCTTCGTAGCCGGAGGGAAGAGAATCTGCTTGATGCAAGTCATATGATCTCAATTTTAAGATTGATTCTCCACGAAGTATAAAAGATGCTCCTTGGCAGATCAATGACTTCATCCATTATCTCGGCAATGTTTCCAGGACATGCTGCTCCCCAGATCTCCTCCCGCAAACAGTTAATTAATGAATCTTATCGGAATTTAATGTAGGTCGATGGTGATCTTTCTACTTCGGCTCTCTTCCTCTCTCTCCCCCCCCCCCAGGCCAACTTGGAGGGTGTACGACAGTCCAAGGTTATTCCCTGTGGTTTTATTTTTCTTTAAAAAGCCAGGAGCTTGCAGGGAACAGAGGTCATTAAAATTTATTGCCGCCCCCACCCACATGAATTGCCCCAAGATCAGGAGACCCGGACCAACTCTACAGGAGGCTACAGATCAACTCTGGGTTTGAGAATTTCTCAACATTTGGCTGTGGCAGCAGCCTTAGTAAGGCCACACCTGGAATACTGCATCCAGTTTGGGTCATCACATTACAAAAAGATATTGAGAATTTGGAAAAGGCCTGGAGACAAAAACCTACGAAGAAGGGTTGCAGGAATTGGGTGTGGCCAGTCTAGAGAGAAGAAGGACTAGGAGTGACAGGATAGCAGTATCTCAGTATTTGAGGGGCTGCCACAAAGAAGAGGGGGGGGGTCAACCTATCTTCCAAAGCACCAACGGCAGGACAAGAACAATAGATGGCAACTAACCAAGGAGAGAAGCCACCTAGAACTAAGGAGAACTTGCTTAACGGTGAGCACAATTAATCAGTGAAACAACTTGCCTTCAGAAGTTGTGGGTGCTCCATCCCTGGAGTCTTTAAGAAGAGACTGGACAGCCATTGATCAGAAATAGTACAGGTCTCCCGCGAGAGCAGGGGGTTAGACTAGATGACCTCCAAGGTCCAACTCTGTGACTGCAGATCCAGAGAAAAGGATAAACTCAGTAACCAAGTGAAAGTCATCAGACAAATTGAGGTGGCCAATATCCAGATAGACAGACACGCGGCTCTTTTCAAAGGCTGTAATAAATGATGCCGAGACCGACTGTCCCCCTTTTTTTTTGAATGCAGTGGCTCGTTCAATCACGCCTGCGGGCCCTTCTTCTCCCCTCCTCCTTTTCCAGACAGACTTCTCTGGTTCCCTTCCAACCAACCTGCAAACGTCTCGGCCCTTAATGCCTCTGCAGAGTTTATTTTTAGCCCCTGTGACAAGACAGTGATGGAGCAGGAAAGGGAGAACAATTAAGAGGACGGGGGCACGACAAAGGATGAGCTAACCTCAAAGCCTGCTTTTTCCAAACGCTTTCTGGAAATACAGACTAGCCCTACCCATCCTGGGAAAGGACTCCAAAGCTGGCAGGCACAGCGTGGCAACTTGCCACCAGCTTATAGCATAGTGCAGGCGAGATTTTGGCAAACGCCAAACTAGGGTATTTGGCAGAATCGAGCAATCCACCAGGGATGCCTCTTCTTGGGCTATTCCTTTTATTTACCCATCCTTCTATCCTGAAAAAAACTGCAACAATGGGAACAAGGACCTTCTCTTTGAAAGCCTGCGTGTTTTTATAAGTCACCTTCCTGATCAAAAAAAGGAGTTTTCCCATCAACTTCATCTTTATGAGAGACACGTTGCAAATCAAATGGCCCAACCTTTTTAAGGTTCTTCGATTAATCACGATGTACCAGCGAATCAACAAGTCCAGTTAAACAGGAACAGGCAAGTGGCCAAGAGTCTAGATCTCTTAATGCCGCTGTTAGACTGCCGGGCCCCACCCAGATCTTCAGAACCATCACCCAACCAAGATGGGCAGCTACAGAAATCAAATAATAACCACCCTATGGTAGCAAACTGGCTCATGGAAATAATGCGCAGTAGCCTTCCAGAGCTGAGTCTTGGAAAGCCGAGATATGATGGTTAACACAAGACCCAGCAGGGGCTCTTGCTTCAAAAAATAGGATTTGGGGCTGTGCATTGCAGTAAAAAAACCAAACCTCTGAAACAGACAAAGATAGCCAAATTTAGCCTCCAGCTCTTACAGGAAACAGTTCTCTTTTACGAAGACCCCAAATTGACAGTTACAAACTCAGTTCTAATTGATCCAATCCAAAACACAGGTCTAAAGGACTCCTGTTTGATGTTTCATATGACGGGGCACTGTTCACATGCCTGCGTGAATGCCTATGGGTGTTAATTACTCGCCTGAAATATTAGTTGCCTCTGACAAACAAGTGGTGACACCATCTGGCTTCATCCAATTAAATATTATAAAATCAGCTTAAAAGGTGGTTACAAAGTTCACCAGCATTGCCAACACTTGGAGAGATGCTTACTTACAGCTTTAAGGCCACAGTTCTGCACGAAATATCCTCTTTAACGCCACCTTCTAACTTTCTGGAAGTTTATAAGCCTCACCCCTCTCCTAGAAGGCTTCATCTAGAGAAAATCTGAACCGTTTATCCCTGCCGTGGTGTTTTCCGTCCTTTATAACCTCACAAAAGACCAGAGTCTGGTTTCAGCCACCGGACTCACAACTGCCCGGCTACCGTTCAGCACTTCTTAGTCATGATTTTCAAGTTCGTCCCTGGACCAGCGAAAAAGCAACAGCCTTTGAAACGAGGAAGGTTCAAGCGATGCCTTTGAAAGGGAGAACGTGCCAATGCCACGAGATTATTCCTTAAAAAGTTCCAGAGGCTGGCCCCAGTCGAGAGCTAATATTTCATGTTTTTCTTGCACCCCTAGCTGTATGCAAGCAACCTCTCCCTCAAGGCACAGCTGCCTAATTTTTGCAACTCGGAACAAACAGCCACCAAGACTCCCCAAACTACCCGTTACAAGGGAAGAAAGCCACTGCCGTTCAGTTGTCAATTTTCAGTTTGGATCCAAAGACACCGATCCGATGCTCTCGAACATGCAGTCTTTCTGCTAAAAAACACAATGAAAAGTAGCCTTCCACCCCCCCTTCCTTGACAAACTCATCCCCTTACATGAACATTCTCAAAAATTCCTGCTCCCGATTTACACTCCCAGGAAAGCCGGAGGATGGGAGGCGCACGGCCCATTCAGTGCCACCGACTGCAGTGTTACTCCCGGAGCGAATTCTTGCTGCGTGTAAGAAGGAAGCAAAAGGAAAGCCGTTTCGTCTGCACACGTATCGCACATCCCCCCCCCCAAAAAAGATGCAGTCTCTTTTTCCACCTGCAATGCAGACAATGAACTTAAGGATCCACCCTTGGACTTCCCAAGCCCTCACCCCCCCACCCCAGTGCCTTTTCCTTAAATTACCAGGTTCCAGCACATTGCTAAGACTTAGCAGCCAAACCACTCCGGCGCAGTTCACATTTTCCCTCCAGTGGCTAACAAAACCGGAGAGACCCTCCCATCCCGACGATGTCCCACCTTCGGCTGAAGAAGCATGTAGAATCTCAGCCAGCCAGCCAGCCAGCTAGCTAGCTTGCGAGCTGGGAAAGGGAGGGGGGGAGAGGAGAGGGAGGGGCGCCATCCTAGCCAGAAGCTTGACTTGGTCTGACTGCTCTCATTTTCACCAGGGTTAAGAAAACCCAGCTGAGAGTGGAGCATCGCAAACACGCCACAATCTTCCCACCTTGCGTTGTGGGACTGCTTCACACTGCAAAGGAAAGTGTGTTTGCCTGAGTGTGTGTATTAAGGGGAGGGGTCCCACTCTCCTTCCCATCCCCTGTCGCTGCCCTTCCAAATCTTCCCTTTCTCTAATAAAGAACCCAGAGTGATTCTTCCAATTTTTAAAAAAAGTTTTAAAAAAAAACAACAGCTAACAAATTCTATTCTGCAGGCAGGTTTTGAAGTCGGAGGGAAACCTGGAGGATGAAGTGAGATTAATACAGGTGGTCCCCGGCTTTCGACCACATTGGAGCCCAAAATTTTTGTTGCTCATGTGAGTTTTGCCCCATTTTACGGCCTTTCTCGCCGTGGTGGGTGAAGTGAATCATTGCAGTTGTTAAAACTGTGGAAAAACGGTCCTAAGTCCCTTTTTTTCAGTGCGGCTGTAACTTTGAACGGTCACTAAATGAACTGCTGTAAGTCGAGGGCTACCTGGTAAGCTACGGCATGAATGCGGCTTTCTTTTGGCACGCCTGTTTAATGGCAGAGAAATAGATTTAGTAGCAGAGAGGGGTTTGAGCCTGGTTTCCTGTGAAAAAAGTGTGTCCTGTTTTCTTCTGGGGGGGGGACATTATAAAATAGATATGAGACAGACAGGCAAAGAAGAGATGATCAGGATAAGAAGGGATGGATGGGTGAATGGATAAAGGGATGGATGGACAGACCGACAGACAGATGGGTCTCCTCTTTCTTTTCTTGAAGAATATGGGGGTATCCACCTATTTCCTAACACAGGAAGTGTCTCCCCTTATAAGGAAACCCTTTCCCCCCCATATACTTTTGGGAGGGGTGCTCACAAAGTCCTTTAGAGAGGGGGAACATTCTCTGTAAGTGGGGAAGGGTCCTCCTAAGTCATTCCAGGGGAGGAACCACTCTTCTTCTTTGGGGGGGTCCTCAGGCTTCCCAGTGGGAGATCTCTCTCCTGAAATGGGGAGAGGTCTCCACATGTCACTCCTTGGGGCAAAACCGTCTCCTTTATCATATGGGGGGGTCCTCATCTAGTGGTAGGGGGCTCTTCTCAGGCTTTCCAGTTGGAAGGGTCCCTCTTTAAGTGGGGGGATCTCCCCCTGCAGGAAAATACACCCCCTCCACCTCCCTCCCCTCTTGGGGTGGCTGCCCTTCCTCAGTAATTCAAGCAAGTGGGGCATGGGGGTCTCTCCCCAGGGCCCCCCAGGGGTGAAACGGGAGGGGTGAGCCCGACAAAGCCCCCCATCCCCTTCCCCACCCTCCGCGCGTTGCATGATGGGAAGAACGCCGGGGGGGCTCTGATACTCACCTGGCGCCGCCGATGCTCCCCCCGCCCCGCTCCGGTCCTGCCGGGGGGAGGGAGGCCGAGGGGAGGGGGCGCTGCTCCCCAAAGGGAGCGAGGAGGAGGGAGGGGGGGAGGAGGGGGACGGGGTGACGTCGAGGGCAGGGGAACTGCGCAGGCGCGGAGGCTCAGGTGCAGCCGCGGCGAAACAGCTGCCGCGTTGCCATAGCAACCGGCTGGGCGCTTCCCCTGGCAGCGGTTGCCGGGCGCTTTTTTTTTTTCTTCCGTTGAAGGCTCCGCCCACTTGAGGGCGGGGCCTCGAGGCGTTCCAGAGCCCAGAGGGCGGGGAGAGGCGAAAGTGGGCGGGAATTCAACCGGTGCAGCTTCACCCCGGAAGGAGAGGAAGCATGCATGTAACAACAACAACAATAATAATCTATTATAATGTATCTATTCTTTTCCGAGATGTTCGGCCCCTAATGGTTGGACCGGTCAGCCTCCGTGCATCCAAGATTCAAGAAAACTCACTGATTTCAGAAATGTCCTGTGAAGGACACAGGATGGGATGGCCACCACCTCTGCCTTTCAGCTCCGGCTTTTAAAAGCGATGGTTGCAAATAGCAATCCTGACGCAGCAGATCTGAAGGCTGGATCCATTTAGGGATCAGATGAACAGGCAGAGGAGATGTTGCCAGTCCCCAAAATAATTTCATTTTCTGGCAACGATCAAGAGTGCATTAAGCTGATTGTTATTGTAAAAGTGGTAAGCCAGCAAAAGAAAAAAGGAAGGAGGCCATTCTTATAGATTTGGAAAAGGGAGGGAAAGAGCAAGGAAGGAGGGAAGATGAAAGAAAGAAGGGGAAAGTGGGAGGAAGGAAAGAAGGAAGAGGAGAAAGAAGGAAGGAAGGAAAGAAGGGAGAGATAAGGCAAGGAAGAAAGAAAGGAGAGAAAAAGGGAGGGTGAGGAAGGGAGGGAGGAAGGAAAATAGGAACAATGTAGGCCAAGTCAACTAAAAAATTCTTCCCAAATATATTTTGCTGTTGTTTGCAACCCTGTGGGTATCTGTATATTACAGGTAGTCCTCAACTTACACCAGTTCGTTTAGTGACCATTGAAAGTTACAAAAAGTGATTTAGGACCTTTTTTCACATTTTATGACCATTGCAACATCCTTGTGGTCACGTGATCAAAATCCAGCCGCTTAGCAACTGTTTCCTATTCATGGTGGTCTCAGGGTCCCAGGGTCATGTGATCCCAACCAGGTTACTAACTTGCAGTGATTCACTGAACAACTGCGGCAAGAAAGGACTTAAAACGGGGCAAAATTCACTTAGCAAATGTTTTGCTTAACAACAAAAAAATTGTGGCTCAGTTGTGGCCGTAATTCGAGGATTGCCTGCATTTGCGTCCCAGTTCTTCCGCTGCTAGGGCACTTTTGCATCAGCCCAGACACAGAGCAGGGAAGCACAAGCACTCCAGCAAAAAGAATTAAACTAACCATGGTTTGTTGAATAGTTCAGTCTATGTCCCTGCCCCACATTAACCAGGGCTGCCCCAAGTTACGACCATTGGCTGCCTCTCCCCCCCCCCCGCCGCCAAGGGAGGGTGAGAGCAGAGAAGTCGTGAAAGATGACAGTAGTTTGTTTCATCCAATCCGAGAAGAGAGAACCGGGACAGTGCATTAGCCAATGGACAGATCGAGCGGAGAGGCGGGAACAATACAGAGGGGGAGGGAAACGGCTCCTTGGAGAAAAGGAAGGGAAAGAGAAAGCTGCTCTTCCATTGGTCGTCGCGTAGCACCGAAACGCGGAGCGTAGACATTTGATTGGTTTAAGGCAGCGTTGGGAGAAGAAGCAATGGTGGACTTCAATTCCCAGAATTCCTGCGCCAGAACAGCTAGCTGAGGAATTCTAGGAGTCGAAGTCCACAAATCACAAAGCTTTGGGGCGCGAGAACTGCGGCTGGGTCTCGCGAGATCTTCCGCAGCGCGGGAAATGCGGCCGGGAGGCTGCCAGGTTGCCGGCCAGGATGGCGCTGAGGAAGGGCGGCGGCGGCGGGTGGCGGCGCCGGTGGGCTGCGGAGCCCGCGGCGGGAGACGGCGAGAAGGAGACCCCGCGGTGAGGAGGAGGCCGGGTCCGGGTTCTGGCTTGGTCCGGGTTGTCTTCGGCTTACAACGGTCCGTTTAGTGACCATTCGCAGTTACAGCCGCCCTGGGGAAAAATGACTTATGACCGCTTTTAATGCTTACGGCCTTGCAGCCTCTGCGTTGGTCACGTGAACAAAATTCAGACAGTTGGCAATGGATTCATACTTAGACTGTTGCAAAGACCTTGTCCAAAGGCCGTTTTTTTCTTTGAGAGTTTGAGCTTTGGCTTCTCTAGAGACTTAAAACATGGGTCAAAATACTTTCATTTTCTTGCCCCAGGGATGAAGGCTCCTCGCTTTCTGCTCTCCGGCGTTTAGAGCGCAGCCAGTGGACGGACAAAATTGATGCACGGTTTGGGTTCGAGAGACTCAAAGAACCTGCAGAAAGGACAGGCTGGCTGATCAACATGCACCCGGTAGGAGCCTCCCTCTTTCCCTTGGTTATCTTCAGAAATACATTTCGGACGTGGCTCTTTGGGTGAAAGTGCCAGACAGGTTTGATTGTTGTTGTGGTTGCTGTGAAGGATGCTGTGCTCACATTTTGCATTTTTCTGTGGGTACCAATGTACAAGAACCTAACGCTGATTTTAAGATGTTTTCCTTTAAATATTCAGTATGTGCTATTGTTTAGAACAGTGGCAGAAAATTACTTTTTTTTTTAAAGGGTTTCTGACCTTTTCTTCCTCTACGGGTATGTTTAACAACAGTTTGAAATTACAACAACTTCTGACAAAAAGGATTTGCAGCCTGTCCTCACACTTCACAACCGTTGTAAACCCCCCCCCCCCAAAGTCATGTAGTCGCAATTGTGGCCCTTGACAACCGGCTCGTGTTGACTTGCTTTTACAATGTTGCAGCATCCTGTAGTCATGTGATTGCAATTTTTATGACTGCAGGTAAAAATGGTTATAAAATTGCGTATGTACTTTATGACTGCACCGACTTACAACAAATTCCAATCCCAATTGTGGTTGTAAGTAAAGAACTATCTGTATTACAATCTATGACAAAAGGCTTTGAATTATTTTTTAAATTCAGTTTCAGAGCTTCAGGGATGACTATCCTTTCTCATACTTCCAAGTTAGTTCTTTGGGGAA